TGTCAAACTCAAGGCCCGTGGGCCAAATCCGCCTTGTCATAAAGTTTTATGTGGCCCAGAGAGACACATGCATAGAACCTTGAAAGTAACTGTTGTATGTTTAAGTAATATTTTGTCAATTAAATAAAAACTGTTTTCAGAAGAAGATTAGACCACAGGAAAAAACATAAACATTTCTGAGAAATGTCCAAATTTGGACTTTTTTCTCAGACTTTTGATTTTATTTTCCTTAGAATTTAAATTTTTTTCTCAGAATTTTGACTTTTTTTTAGAATGATGTTGATTTTAATCTTCTAAGGTCAAAAGTCAGAATTCTGAGAAGCAAAATCAAAATTCTGAGAAAAATAAAGTCCAAATTCTGAGAAAAAAAGTCAAAATTTGGAGACTTTTCTCAGAATTTTGACTTTATCTCAGAAAAGTAAAACCAGAATTATTATTTTTTTCTTGTGGCCACAATCTTTTTCTGTAGTTTTTATATTTATGCTGCCAAATTATGCCATTCTGAAATTATGTTCAGTATTACTGGATTTTAAGCAGTATTCATTGAGTGCAGAGGTGGCTATTCATTCAAATGTCAGAGTTTTATCGAAGGGTTTTTATCATTACATTCTGTCTCAACTGGCTTTTGGGGACATACATAATTTTGATATGGCCCAAAACAAAAATGTGTTTGACACTCCTACTGTAGCAGATTTTCTTTTCTTTTTTTTTATGAAGAAAAATTATCGCAAACCCTGTGTTGCAGCAGCTTTTTGCAAGACACAGTGAACATTAACATATCTTGAGGTTTAACAGAGACCTTGAAGATTTCAGTGGTGCCACGTTCAAAATTGTTGGAGCGGCTTTTGAGGGCGAGGATTTCAGTTTTTCCTTCGTCTCCATATATCTGACAGAAGACGTCGGCGTTGGTTCCGGCTGATCGCATATCGCCAGTGACCACTGTTATTTCATAGTTGATCACTGTTGAAGAAAAGGTGTGAGTTCACCACGACAAGTTGAGAAAAAAAACATGTAAATCAGAGGGACATACTTTTTATTTTTCATTTACATTTTTCAATTTCCAAGACCTCGCTGGGATAGATTTCAACCTCCACTTTGCCGTCCGCTTCATCTTTGCAGAGCCAGCGGTGGCTCGGGAACATGTACTGCATCCCATGAACCGGCACAGAAATCTGCACACTGTCCAGGAACCAGCCGGCTCGTAAACCTTCATTTGTGTGACCAATCAGAAGACGGTTGATCTACACGTACAGAGCAAATTGATGAAATACAGGGATTATCCTCAAATATAGTGACTTTTCTTTATTTGAGATTTTTCTTCGAGATACAGCACACTTGCCTTTCCGATGTCAGACGTGTCAAGGGTGAAGATGTCAGTTCTTGCCGTCTCAAAGTAATTCCTGAGGTCATTGTCTGAGACAGCCAGGATCACTTTGTCCGTGTCGCCCTTCTCACCGTACAGCTTCACAAACACTTTGGAGTCAGAACTGGCACCATTCACACTGCCTGTCTTGATTGCGATGTGGTAGCCGACATCTGCACGCAAAATGTTTCATTGCTTATTCCAATTTTAATATGAATGCAAAATTATTTGTTTGGTGTTCTTTGTTTTGCTTTTTTCCCCCCAATGAATGTGTTTCAAAAAATGTTTTTGCAGTGACTTACTAAAGAGACGCACCCCGTCTCCAGCTGGGACCAACTCACGGATTATCTGTCCGTCATCCTCATTGCGATCTAGCCACCTAGAATAAAAAAAAAATATTATATTTATTTGAGAAATATATTTGTTAGTACATTGTTGTCATGAGAATGACTAATATTGAAGAAAAATCATTATAACAAGACAAACACAAAATCAAAGCAATACAGCATTCATAAAAGTTAACATGAAATGTACACATGCAACCAGATTTATATCTTTGTCTTATGTAAGTCATACTTAACCAGCTCTAAACTAAAAGCGCAGTTTAAACATAAAAAATAGATATTTATCACAACCAAAGTTTTCACATCAATGGTGATAATGTGAGTTTGACTGGATTAAGTAATTGCCTGTATAATCATGAACATGGCTTCTCTGTCTCATTACCTCTTCTTAAGTCTCCCAAGCCGTCTCTAATGAACAACACAGACAGGCAGGAAGAACACTTTTTTTCCTGCAAAGTAACAGTGCACCCAGCTTTGCGGTTGCACTCCAGTTACAGAAGGAGAGAGCTGGCTGGCTGCATGCATTTAGTCTCCATTTGTAATGGCAAAGCCATCCAGCTCTTACCTAACTACTTAAACACATGCCATTGGAAACCTACTGACCCCAAACATGGGCAATTTGCATCAGTGAGAAGACTTCTGAAAATGCCGGAAGGATTTTAGCCGTCTGACAAACTGGCTTAGTGGGATTTGTGCAGAACAATAAGGATGTAAACATGTGAATTATTACAAAATAGTTATCAGTTTCCTACAGGTAAAATCATTTTTACATTTTACTGAACATAAAGATTAAAAAGCATCAACAGTCCAAGATATAAATGCATTTAGGCAAAATCCCCCGGGTCCTAAGTTACCCAAGCAGCCGCAGACCGTAACATCACCTCACCATGTTCGAATGTTATTGCAGAAATGTTTCGTGAAGGTGTTGGGGATCTTCAAGATAACATGACTATGGTCACTAAAGGGTTAGCTGAGGCGAGTGAGGGCTGCACAAGTAGTTTTGGGCTCTTTTGTTACCCCCAGGGTGAGTCGTCTTGCTCTAACGTTGGCCAGCCAGCCACTGCTGGGAAAGTTGAGCTTTCAGTTTCTCCTTTTTTGGACGATGGCTTTCATCATGCAGGTGTCTTAACACTTTGAAGCAACTTTGGAACAAGATTTATCACAGAACATTTGTTTGCCATCATTAATTACGATCTGGTGTGACAGTTGAAATTATGGTTAATTCCAAACATTTAATTAGTCACCATTTATTCAAGATTTAATAGAGTGAGTGCATTGTTTTTTTCTTCTTTGGTTTAGTTTTTTTTTTGTCTTTTCTGATGATTTTTTTATTCATATAAGACAAAACTATCATTGTCTTATATCAAAACTTGTTAGATGATCACAAAATAAAAAGCTAATTAAATCAACAATGGGTAAAGATTTTATTTCATAACCCTGGATATCAGATTAGATCCATTCTAAACCGGTGTGTGACGTGAACGCCCGTGCATCGACTCTGGCTGCTTTGCTCCCTCTTTTTTCTGATTCTGTCCTTGTACCTGAGTTTAAGCAAATTGAAGTAAATCCAACAAAGACCTTAAACAGGACCTGGGACAGATGTAGCATATATGCTCAGATTTTCAGTTTATAGCTCAAGATGCCTCATGTGCAGAGTATCGTCTTGCCTGAAACATGGGAATTCAGTGGCAGAGGACTCTGGCTGCCCCTCCTCTCTGACCAACACCTTATCAAGATACCAACCACATCCTCCACCACGGCCGTCATGACCCACTCTGACTCTCCGCACCTGACCCAGGAAGACCGACTCGATGAGGAACTCATCATGCTGTGGACAAAACGAGGAGAAAATAGAGACTTGAGATACGTTTCACAAGAATGTAAATTTATGTGAAATTTAGTTTAAAAGTTTACTCACGTTTCCCTTTTCAAATTTGTTGACGTTGTTTTTGCTCATATACATGAGACGCTCTCCCGTGTCACCCAAGTCTCCAATGACATTGAGGAACACGCTGGCATCGGTACCACTACCACTGACATTGCCAGTGCAGATTGTGACCCGATACTTTATCACTGAAAAAAAGTATCAGAGAAGAGCTGGTGTTGCACTAGGAACTATTCACACTGTTTCTGACCCCTGGAACAGTTACTAAAACACTACATATTTTAATAACTGGGAAATGTCATGATTTCTTACAGGGCAGCGGCTCATCAATGAGTGTTCCTGTGGCGGGAAGCTCTCTGACAATCTCATTGTCATCTTCATTGATGTCCAGCCAGCGGCCACATTCAAAAGAATACTTGTCCATGGTTAGCGTCTTGAGTAAAGTGACCTGCAGAAAGTCATCAAGCACACCTTTTACTGTATTCTGGTTTGTGAACGTTCTACACACAACAAAAAGAATAATCCTGACTCACCTTCGCTAAATGCCAGCCAGCAAATGGATTTCTCTTCTCATGCCAGATCCGCAATTTCAACAATCTTCCCATGTCCGGCATTTCAATCTACAGAAACCCCCCCAAAAAAGTTAGGTATAAACAAGAACATGAAAATCGCCTAATAGGAACATTTTATGGATCAATATCACAAATAAACCAAATAAAGAATGAGATTATCCCAGATGTACCATGAATTTGTCAATCTGTCCTTGTTCAAAGCTGTCTGAATTGTTTTCCAGTTTGATCTCATCTGACTTTCCTTTCTCTCCATAAATCTGCAGGAATACTTGGGCGTCTGTGCCGGCGCCTTTTATGTCTGAGGTCCAAATCCACAATGACCATGGGTACTCTGACGTGAATAAAAAGAGTGTGATTCCAGCACAAAATTTGTATAACTAAAGATAAATAATTTTTCTTCTTTGATTTATTTGCAGTGACAACTCACTTTTCTGTTTTTTCTGTCTGAGCGAGACCATCTCATACAGTTCCCTCTCAATAAGTCCATCTCCTTCGTCCTCATCTAGCCACATCCCACATGGAAATGTTTGCTCAATGCCAGTGAATGGACAGTATATCACCACCTGCAAGCGGAATGGCTGCTTAATGGATAAACCACACTGTTACAATCAATTTGTCACCAATTAGAAATGTGTAGAACCTTTTCACAGTACCACCCCGCACCGACGGCACCGTTGTCATGACCGATGGTGACCCTGCTGAGAGGGCTGATCAGTTCACAGATCTCGACGTTGAAAGTGTCGATGAGAGCGCGCTCAAAGGCGCCACCCTCGAGGAAAACTTTGCCACTGTTTTTTAATCCCTTGGAGCCATGCATAACCATGTGGATCTTGGAGTTGGTTCCTGCTCCTCTGATATCACCAGTCATTACTTGAACATTGTATGTAATCCCTGAAGAGGCAGAGAAAGGTAAAAAAGACATTTTATACTGTAATTTATGTAATCCATAAATTAAAAACACACTCTTTAAATGCATTTAAATAGGATTTTTTTTTTTGTAGTTCATGCTTAAAGTGTAGAAAACACAAGGTTGTGGCATTTATTGTCACACCCATTGGTTGCAGTGATCCAACCAAGACGTCTCTCTGTATTTTGCCATCATCTTCATCCATGGCAAACCAGCGATTCACTGGAAATTCATATATTTCTTTATTGCCCATATCATCTATCACAACCTGTGAGGTAAGAAACATTAAGCACAATTAGCAGTTTTTATTTTTGAAGTGCACATCTTCAAACCTGTGACTTCATCCATCTACATGCCTTGTCTAGAAACCAGCCAGCTGAGGAACCTCTGTTGTTGTGGCCGATGGTGATTTTTCTAAGCCTTCCCAGGTTTGGAGCCTCTATTGTAAACTTGTCCTCTGAACCACGTTCAAAGTTGTCTTTGTCACTATCCAGTCTTCTTTCGCCTTTCATATTACAAAATATGATTAAGAATTACAGAGAGAAACTTCAAGAAGCCCATAGTTGCAGTTATTGAAAGTAAAGTCCTGAATAGGTATGATTTTTATTTTTATGTTGGACTGATGTTGAATCTAAATAAGTTTGATTCAAGAGGTTAATCACCAAGAAACAACGGTTCAATCTAGATGTTAACTGGTGCAACTGGGGAGAGATGGTATGGACGTTCTATGTCCTTAAATTTGCAAGGACATAGAACAACAGAATTGGTGACAAATGGAAAGGAAGTGGACTAAGACAGCTGCTAAACTATTCAACCATGCAGCATTCCTTGCAAATGCATTATACAGCATTACCCCAATTGACAGGATTAAGTGGAGTTGCATTGTGAGTTCACGTGAGTCTGGGGTTGTTGTGTCGTTTGGCATATGGGGTATACAGATGAACAGCTGGCAAATTGTTGAAGCTAATGTGTACATGAAGGTACCTGCAGGTCTGTGTCTACACAAACTTCTAAAATGGAGAATGCTGTCATTTCTATGACCCAATGGATCTGGCATTTCAATGATTGTAATACAGATCCATGTACACTGTCTTTTCATTTCCTTTGTGTTTACGCTTTATTGTCAATGAGTGCATTTGAAGACCCAACCTTAACAGTCCTCTGTATTCACATTACCTGTGTCACCATGTTCTCCAAAGATATTCAGGAAGACATCAGCATCAGTCCCACTTCCCTTCATATCAGCAGTGAAAACACTCACAAGATATTTATTTACTGCAAGACAGAATATAACGTCAGGCCAGACATGACTTGTGAAAATCACCGGAAAAGCATCCAATGCAATTTCCCATCAACAGTGGAAAATACTAAATTGCTCTATTGCCTTCCTTAAGGTTCCTCAAATATTACCTAAGAGATGGCTTCCAAATTAAACATTTATAACTCTGGGTGTGTGTTTGACAAACAGCTATGTTGCTACGACTGTCTCTTATAGCACAGTCTCTTTACAGTACGGGACTTGATTGTCATTAGGTGCTAAGATGTTAGATCACATTACAGCAGAGGTCACAGGGACCAGTTTTACCCGAGGACTACACTGGCATAGCATTCAGTTGCAACCTGAAACTATAGGACAGCCTGCAGACTTTCAGGCAGAGACGTGTCTTCCTTGTCAAACACATGCGATTACTACTCAGTTCATCTTTAAAAATGTATTGTGTCCTTTGTGACGCCTCGGCTTACATTTACAAATCACTACTACGATCCACAACTTTTCCAAACAATGTCTTCCAAATAGTAAGAAATTGTTTTGTGGTTTTGTAAGAGGAGTTTGTGACCTACATTTTGGGACATCTACGGGGTTTAGACTGCCCAGGAGATCCCTGACGAACAGGTTGTCACCCTCCTCCCGGCTCAGCCAGTTGTTGCAGGGGAAATAGAAACGCAGATGGGGCCGGATCATGTCGGTCACCACCACCCTGTCCAAGAACCAGCTGGCGCTCATTCCTGTGTTGTCATGTTCAATTCTAGAGAAGACAAAGGTCAGAGTTTCACATCATTTGATTTGCACTCTCTAATCATCTCATCACATAAGACAAAACGTTATAGTTTAATACTAAACAAGGCTATTAATTTCATACAGTGAGGCTCAAAGATATCTGACTGAGTGAAATGAGCTGGAACAAGAGTCTGAACAATCCACCCAGTAGCTAAATCTGGTCTTTCTGGAAAATTGGGAGGAGAAACGCTGTTGTTGAGAGAGACCTGAGTACCGGTTGCAGTTAGCTACAACTCCTTCATATAAAATGCATCCAATTGTTAGCCGAGTGGTCTCCATGGCAACAGTGATGGTGAGACGAGATGAAAAGCTTGCGATGTGATTGCTCTTGAACTTGTAGAGGTGGTAATTTTGCATGTGTAGAGTTTTGGGTTTCATAAATCCTTGCCTGAGTCAATAACTCGTGTGGGCTGACTGTGATGCAGCTCTGCTTCCCCGTCATCCACTCATAACAACAGATGGGATTAAACCTTTTGTCACTGGACAAAATCTCTTTGTGTCCAACAGATAAACACATGCTTACGTTCTCCGTGGTTTATTTAACTATGAAGCTTACACTCCTTGAGCGGCCTGCACCTTGGGAATTTGAAACATTTGATCCAAAGACGGAAACAACTAAAGTGTAGCAATGAAGAGAGGTTTTATAGTGGCTTGCATTTTCATATGATACAGTACCTTAGCTTTTTAATTGGGCCAATATTTTGTGTTTTGATTCGGAAAACATCCGTCTTATTCTTCTCAAATGCATTCCGGCTTCTGTAAATAACAATAAAAAAAAAAACATGTGACAAACATTTCTGAGAAATCTGGCATGAGCAACATCCATTATTTAATCCAGTGAGATTATAACAGATGGATAAAGGAACTGATCTCAGAATCTGTAAAAGGGCGTCACCCTGGCTGATCTGGCTTAACGGACCCCTGTGGACTGATGGCGGTGGTATAATCTGAAACCTTCCTCAGACTCTGCCACTTCACCCCTCTCTCCTTTTTCATGTATCGTACTTCTGCCCCTCGCTGAGAGGAAACAGAATGTGTGAGCACATGAAATCCCCCTCTAACCCAAGACTGCGCATCAGATGACCTCTTATCTGTTGACAGATTCCCTGACAGACTCACATCTGTCTTTTATTTTTTTATTTTTAATGTTACTCCGATAAGGCCAAGGATTAAAGTCATGAACTGTCAACAGGTGACCATGTGCCCTCATACTCCATTTCAAGTTGCCCACGAAGATGAAAAGGAGATACTGCAAACTTTGGAATTCATGCAATTTAAATCTGCTGTAATCACACTGAATTTCCAAAGAAGTACATTTTTAATGTGCCTTGGAGGCTTGAAAGAGATAAGCATCTCCCTTACCTGTATTGTGTGCAAAGTGTAAACCTATCACAACACGATACAGGCAGGACCAGACGCATATCGGAGTAAGGTGAAACTGCTAACTAAGCCAGAAGTTTATTGTATAAATACCAGAAGAATCAAAGGCATCTTTGTTCAGTATTTTTATCAAATTAGCTGTCAGTGTGGACGTACTGAATACAACACATGTTGATGCATTCTGAAATGAATGAATGGAAAGTGTGAATGACATGATCCACAGCGGTTGACAATAAGCTGTGTGTGTCCTATATGCTGCCAAAGTGGCCCTGGCAGTCAGTCAACGTGAGAGGAGATAAAAGCAGCCTGCTGCTGATAAGATCCCCTGAAAGTCATTTGATCATCTGCATAAATGACATCGTGGTCTTCTTTCATTCCTTTGTGAATGGAAACGAAGACAAGCCATGTCATATAGTTCCTCCTTACTCCAGATATTCTGAGTCCAATATATATATATATATTTTGTTATTGTTGTTTTTTCTTTTTACATCTGTATGAAGGAGAGATTCCTGCTTCACAAGAAAACCATTTAGTCTATTTTCCAATGTCAAAGCTTTTAGAGTGACCAGTGGAAAGTTGAATAGGATTTCTCTCCCATACAGTGTCATATTCACAATACAAGCAAACACAAGTACAGAATGTTAGCCATCTTTTTGTAGACCAGTTAGCAAGTACCTCTTTTCTGTGCTGAGGAATTAGGGAAAAACAGAAAACATTAAAAGTTAATGATTCACTCTGAAAACATATGAAACCTGTAAACATCAGTGGTTATGTACATTATCTTGAAAAACATAAAAACATATTAAACTTTATCTTAAATCAAAAGGTGGAATTGTTGGGGAAACATTTTTTCTTTGGCACCATAATTATACTTACTTGCTCGCCAAGTGAACCTTGGGTGAGACGCCAAAGTCTCCAAAGAGGGTAACAAAAACATTGGCATCAGTCCCAGCTCCCTTCACATCACCTGTGACTGTAACCACCTCATATACTGTAAGAAAGAGGACACTGGATATTAACTACAACAACAAAATATTTGACACTCCCTCTTGTATTTATGAGAAACCCTGATTGAAGGCTTTAATCACCCCAAATTATTTAGCTGGAGCAGAAGTTTTACTTTAGTTAAAACTGAATTTAAGTTAGTTTAGTTTTACAGCACCAACTCACAACAAAAATGATATCCCAAGGCACCTTTTAGATAAAAACAGGGAATTTATAGAAATATGTGATCATTTCTCTCCTGTTGACAGAGTTCCTCAGCCTGAGATTGAATCCAGCCGCTACACAGAAGAAGTTCATTCAGCAGCTTTATTTGAGGTTTTGCTCTTATGATCATGATCCATAACTCCGTAGATTCAAGTCAAAATGTAGAACTAATAAATATTTTATGACTGACTTCACTATAACAAACTGGGGCAGAACTTGTATTGTTGCCAACAATGTCCCAATCAATCTTTACAAATAAAGGAGGCATAAAAATTTAATGTTTCCTCTTGATGAAGTTAATGTGCACCAGCCTGGAGGGAGCAATAATCATGTTTCCCCTCACTCTAGTGTATCCCAAAAATTATGGCATAAAAATAAAATAAACATACACAAACATTATGACAAGATACCCTCCGCTCCACACATGCCCTGTCATCCTGCATAGGCACCAGCTGTCTCTGCCACCCAGCTTGTACGCCACACAACCCAGAACCCACTGGAGAGACTCTACTGCACTTTGGATCACCCAGAATGAAATGCCAGGAAAAAGTTTCTCTACTGGTTTTCTAAAGATCTTCTGACATTTTTAATCAGAGTAAAATCCATATTTTTGACATATGTGGTTTGTGGATTTCAATAAGAATGGTTAAGATGTAAATAGTTCTTTCTAATCGACATGGTTTCACAAGGACAAAGTAACTGTTTCAGGTGCAATAATGCCAAGACAATTTGTCAGAATTGGTTGTTCCAATAATCTTTTGTGCACTTTATAGGAATCCTATACCTGAAACTTCAAAAGTATGAA